GCAATGAGGAGGAGGGAGGAAGGGAGCGAGGATGAGGACGGAGGGAGGGGGGGAGGGAGGGAGGAAGGGACGAAGAGGAGCAGAGGAGGAGGAGGAGGAGGAGGAGGAGGAGCAGGAGGAGGGGGAGGAGGACAGAAGGCCGTGCAGCAGGAGGGCGAGAAGGTGGTCGAGCGCCCGATTGGCAAGAGGAGGGGGGGGGACTACGAGCACGGGCTGGAGGAGGAGGACGACGCGCACGCCGGCCGCGGCACGGCGCGGCGGCTGACACTCCGCATTTAAAGGCCGCGCGCCCCCCTCGGTGCACGCGAGGGCGCACACGAGAAGGAGCGGGGCGCCCTGCTCCGCAGTGAATCTCCGGGGCATGCGCCGGCACGGTCCTGTACCAATATACAGCTGCTCGCTGGCGCGCGGGGCTCCAAAGAGGCAGCGGCGAGCTCGTCGCGGAGGGCGGGGGCGGCGCGGGAGGGGCGGGGCTGAAGGGGGGGGGATGCAAGCATGCGGAAGGCGGAGGAGGAGGAGGAGGAGGAGGAGGAGGAGGGACAGAGAGGCTCGAGGCCGCCATCCTCTCAACGGAATGCGTGGGGCGAGAGCAAGACTCGATATGCACCGCACCCTGTCGCTGCTACACCTTCCGAAGTCAACGACACAACGCCCATGCTACTGTAGCATGGCGGTGCGTCGACGTTTCGACGTTTCAACACAGCATCAGCCTAGTTCCGACTCTACCCATCGAATACAATACAGCATCGACATTTTTGATGTTCAATGCGAAGGCAACGACGTCACGTCCATGATGCAATGAGGAATGTCGATGCTGTAGTGTGTCTGCAGGGTGGGCGTCCGCTTTCGGCGACAAGCCTTTTGAGAAGGAAGGGACCAGACTGGCAAGCCACAAGCCGTCTGGTGCGCGCAGGCAAGAGAGCGAACGCAAGCAGTCACAGACGGAATTGGGTGAAACACTGCGCTGCCTGAGCGCAGCAAGAGGAGGAGGAGGAGGAGGAGGAGGAGGACGACGAGGAGGAGGACGACGAGGAGGAGGAGGAGGAGGAGGTTGGAGCCGTCTGGGGGTCTGGGGTGGCCCAGCATTGTTTCGGCCAACAGGACGGGCGGGCGGGTTCGAGGTTCTGGGTTCGGGAAAACTTGGCCTTTGCCTGCCTCCAAGGGTCGTCAGGCCAGTGAGCTTGAACACTAATCCGGAGTGAAAAATTGCACCAGATGGGCCCCGGGAGGGGTCCAGGGACCGATTTCGTGCGGATTTGGCTGCATCCCCCCTCCTGACCGATTTTCATGGAGCCCCAACCAGTTCAGACCCCCCTGCCGCCTCCAAGGAGGAGGAGGAGGAGGAGAAAATACAGGCACATCCAAGAGGAAAGATCGGCTTGACGGCAGGTGGCCCACGAAAATGTCTTGTCCCCCGATGGCCCCAGGAGCCCACAGTAGCTCTGGGGCGCCCCAGGGCCCTCAAAGATCGGCGCAGCGTGCGTCCCAATCCTAAGGGCCGTCGGCCCATCGCGCCACCGTGCCCATGCTTGCGGGTCCAGATGCCTCTCGGACCAGGCTTTGGCGAAGCTTCGCTGCCCCTGGGTGCGGCCAGCGTCGAGCCGGCCTTCGAGAAGGGGCGCCGTCGCGCGATGGACGACGTCGCGGTGGACGAAGACTTGAGTTCTGCCTGTTGGAAGCAGTTCTGAAGCCTCATGGGGGCCGTCTGGGGGGCCTCATGTTGGCCTCTTGGGGCCTCTTGGGGCCTCCTGGGAGTCCCTGGGGCGCACGCTGGCGGTCTGAGGGGACTTTCTGGAGCGGAGGGCTCGAAGAGTCAGTTTTCGTGCTGGCAGGCTGACACCAGGGCGGGGATGCAGGGACAGGAAGTCAGCATCACCATCGGGTTGGCTCCAGTTTGTGCGCGCACGCGCGGAGGGCAAGTCATGCCCCCCCCATCGCAACGCTTGTTCTCATCGGCAGGTCGACCAACGGCCACCCGGCCGGGACAGTGGTTCACGGAATGCCCCTCTTGGGGGCCAGAAGTTTTGAACCCCCTTCCCTTGACAGAACGCTCATGCGACCGTTGCGGCAAAACCCGGATGCCGCCACACACGTGTTCTTCCATGCCACGTGTGTTATGAAATGAAGTATCTCTTTCCATTTCACATACGTTGATTCGTTTCTCACTGGATTAGCCAAGGGATACGGATTCCATGTTGCGCAGGCGTGGCGAGATCCCATCGTCTCCGCCAGCATCGCCATCGTCATCACGTTCTTCGCTACCCATAGCCGTTGGATCGAGCCCTGGCGAAACTTGCCCTGGGCCCACCCACCCAGTTTCGCCATATGATGTGCTCGAGCCTCACGCGGCGTCTGGTGGGGCATTGCATTATGCAGCGTGACGCATCACGCTGTGGCACCACGTGAGATTGCAGCCTCAACGAAGCCACTCGCATCACGGGTGAGGTGCGGATGTTCTCCCGCACGCGCGCGCCTGGCAAGGTGGCGGGGGGGGGGGGGGGAAGCGTCCCTGTGCAGGTCCTGCATTGGGGACTTGTCCTCCTCCGCTCCCTGGCTGCCCAGGTCCCAATCGCGGCTGGCACGGAGGCCCCAACGGTCCACAGCCCCCGGGAGCCGTCGTCCGGTTTGGGCTTTCCTCCCCACCGTGGCCTCCCGCCTCGACCCTCGAGGACCAGGCCAGAGAGGGAGCACGGGTGATGGCCCCCAGTGGCCCGAGCTAGCCCCCACGGGGATCCCCCTCTCGGGCCCCTCTTCAAGGGCCCCTCTCGGACCGCTCTGGAAACGTGTTGGGCCGTGCTGGGGCTCTCTCGCATCGTCTTCGAGCCCTCTTGGGATCTCTTGGGGCGATGTGTGAAGCATCTGGGGACATCTTGGGGCGTCTTGGGCGCTGTGAAGCCTCAAGAGGCGAAGATGCTAAAGCAAAAAGGGAATGGGATTATGTTTTCCACGTGGAGCCCTGTTGGAAGTGTTTTCGGAGGCCTCTGACGAACGGATCGGGCGGGCGGACCCTAACGGGCATATCGGACGGGCGGGCCCAGACGGCTGGGTCGAGCAGGCGGGTCGCTGAGGCGTTAATCCAACACGAATCTTTGGTAGTTTCGAGCGACAGCGCGTTTCCCAAGTAAATCGTTAGGAAATCCATCGCGAGAGCGTGACTCCCGAACGTTGGGGGAACGGCGTTGTAATACATTGCAAGGAAGTCCTACGCGAGAGCGCGATCCTTGGATAAGTGATGAGGAAGTCCCGCGCGAGAGCGCGATGTTGAATGCACTGTGCGGAATTAGCATGCGGGCAGCGTTGTTGTCCTACTGCGGGGGCCAGCACCCCAATTGTAGCCGCCGGATACTCCCTTGAAAGAACCGGGCGCGAGCCCCTGGAGGAGCAATTCAAACACAAGGTGCACCGGGAGGGGATCAACCACGATCATTGTTTGAAATAGGACTTCAACTGTCCGCACCACGGAACATCATTTTGGCCACGCACCCAGGGACAGTGAATGACCGGCCGGCCCGTTCACTCTGAGTATCTCGTTGCAGGGGCAGCAGGCGGAGTAGGAGGACTTGCGTCTCCCATGCACCACAACGGATCGGGGACGTCGCGCACAGCTTCGCACGCTCGCAATGCACGACACAAACACGAAACACGATTTCCCAGCGGGGGCTGCTTTGATCAGACTTACAAGCCCCAGCTTCCAGTATGGACGACCCGCGCCACCCGACTGGGGAAGAAGCACGGGCAGGAACGAATTGACTTCCGACGAGAAGCCATGTTTTTTTTGAAGAGAGGCTGGTCGAGGAAACTCAGAAACGATATACGCCCGAAGGGTCCGTGGGATCCCTGCGTCAGGCAACCCCGCGCCCAGTGCAGGTCAGGAAGTCATGAGTTCATAGTTTGGGGGCTCCTCTGATTCTGATTCGTTGGGGCGCTTCAGAAGTCAGTAAGTGCTCCGAGGAGACGCTTCGTGCGCCCAGCGCTTCGGGGTCCGACCTGGGCCCACGAACCATGCAGAGCCCAGCACACGAATGCGAACCCGAATTGTGCGCCCGATGGCAAACAAGCGTATCACTGTTCGGCTGCGCGTTTCTTCCTTGCCCGCCCCCGCCCTGTCTGCTTCCTCCTCGCCCACCCTTCATCCTTATAAACACCTCCTCACTGTCGCACCCCGAGACGTCTCGGTAAGGCGGGCCGGGCCTTTCGCTTGAGGTTCCCTCACCATTTGTGAATCCGAAACTTGAAATTTGCAGCAGTTTCACCGATGGAGGGCGGGTCGTTTTCACAATGTAATTCTCGCCATGGCGCAGCGCACATGCGTCTTAAATTTGGAACAGATTCAAAGATGGAGGGCGGCCGTTTTCTAAATGTGCTCGCCTTTGCGCCGCGCACATTCGTCTTAAAGTTTGCGTGAGGTTGTCGGGTGGATGGCGGGCCGTCTTCAAAATGTAAGTTTTGCTGTAGTGCCGCGCACATTCGTTTAAAACGTTGCGCGAGTTTCCGGAATGGAGAGCGGGCCGTTTTCAAAATGTAGTTATCAGTTTTTGTTCGCGCACATTCGCTTTTAAAGTTCGAAACATATGTAAGGGTTCGTATGGCTGGAGTCTCAGGAATGGTGTTCTTGCACGGTTTAGGAGCGACAGAACGCAACAGTCATGTTGATTCGCGGTGTTGAAGTCCCAGGTATGGTATTCTGACGTGGCTCATGATCGTCAGGACGCGACATTCACGTTGATCTGAGGCTTTGAATCCTTTGAAGAAGGTATTGTGGCACGAAGTTGGGATTTTCAGACGGTCGTCTTCCAACGGGGCACTTCCCTCCATGGAAATAAATTATTGTTGGGGCATGTGAAGAGGGAGTTTGGGGATGGTTTGATTGCAACATCATTGTTGTGCGAGTTATCTCTTTGATTATCTATTTATATATATATATGCACATATATATACACATATATAGATGTATGCATATACAAGTATACTTGTCATCCTCCTCCTCCATCCTTACCCGCAGCCGTTTCGGCACGAGCCCGCCGATGCCGCCAAAGAGGTGGGGCTGTGAGCGGCGCGCGTGGGCACGGGCGCGCGCCAGGGCGCGCGCGCGCCTGCAGGAGCCATCGGCCCGAGCGGAAGCGCCCGCGATCTCGGGCCGATGGCCGCGCGCGGCGTGTGCGATTCGCTGGGCGGGCGCCTGAGAGCCCCGAGGTCCGCGAGCCCCGCGAACCGGCGGGCGCTGGCCCTCGACATGCGCCGCATGGCCACCCTGCTGCAGGACGCGCCGGCCCAGGCCCCCGCCGCGCTCGCCGCGGAGCACAGCACGAGCAACTCCAGGTGCAGCAGCGCGCACAGCGCCTGGGAGCCCCACGACCGCAACGCCGCGGCGGCCGGCGCTGCCAGGCCGTCGCCCGTCAGGGCGTCGAGGGCGGTCATGAACAACCAGGTGGCCGTGCTGAACTCCTCCTCCTCCTCCTCCGCCTCCTCCGCCTCCTCCGCCTCCTCCTCCTCCTCCTCCTCCTCCTCCTCCTCCTCCGCCTTCTCCCTTCCCAGAACGAGGTGGCCGTGCTGAACGAGAAGTTCCACCAGATGCTGCAGAGGCTCCAGCAGCAGTGCGAGGGCGACCGGCGGCGCCTCGGCCAGCTGGAGCGCCGGCTGGAGGCGGGGGCCGAGGATCGCGTCCGGGCCGGTGAACAGCGGGAGCGCTGGGCCGAGCTGCAGGGCAAGGTGGATGGCGTGATCGAGGAGACGCAGTCCATCACGAAGCGGGTGGAGGGCCTCGACGAGCGCCTCTGGGCGCGCACGAGCGGGTCCCAGGGCGCGAAGCAGCGCGGCCGCGAGCTGGAGCAGCAGGTGCAGGCCTTGGAGCAGCAGGTGCGCATCTCGGCCACCACCTCCGAGGAGACCTCCAAACGGCAGGCCGCCAGGCTTCGCCGCGCAGAGCACGCCGCGGAGGAGGCCGTCCGCCGCCTGGCCAGGCTCGAGGAAGACGCGCGCGGGATGGCCCCCGCGCAGCGTGACGGCTTCCTGGAGACGCGGCTGGGCACCTTGGAGCAGCAGCAGGAGCAGCTGTGCGACGTGGTCCGGTCCCTCCAGGCCCAGATAGACGAGGGCCTGCCCGGTCTCGCCGCAGCTGCCTACGGCTCGCGCTCGAGCGAGGAGGGGCGCGACGTGGATGGAGCTGTCCGCGCCGTGGAGGCGAGCCACTCCGAGCTGGAGAAGAAGGTGCTAAAGCAGGTAGAGGAGCAGGCTGCCTTCCGCGTGAAGGTCGACCACCAGCTCTCCCGCGTGAGCACTCTCGCCGACCGGATGGAGACGGCGCACGAGCCAGCGTTGGAGTCCTTGCGGTCTGAGCTGGCCAGCCAGCGCTGCCAGGACCGGCAGCATGCCGACGGGGAGGTCGCTGCGCTGCGCCGTCAGATCCAGCAGTCGGCAGACGGCGCGGAGGACGCCCTGGCCGAGGTGCGCGACTGGCTGCGCGAGCTGCAGGCCCTGCAGAGCACCTCGATGCCCGGGCCGCGCCGCGACGAGCAGCACCTCGAGGCGCTGCGGGGGCTCCAGGAGCGCCTCGCGGGCTTGGAGCAGCGGGCGGAGTCGCTGGAGGAGGCGCTGTCCCTGGGGCCCTGCGGCGGCGCTGCCGGTGGCGGCGACGACGCAGCGGAGGGGGCGGGCCCCGCCCAGGACCTCGAGGAGCTGCGGGCGCGCCTGGACTGGCTCGAGGAGCAGAGCGCCGCGCGCACGGCGAGGCCCGACGCCGGCCACGCGGCGGAGGCCCAGGACAGGATGTGCAAGGCAGGGCTGGGCCTAAAGTTAAGTCGGGCCCGTCCCTCTAGAGGAGGAGTAGTGAAACATAATCAGAAAATATAATTCCGGACAAGCAACCTAACAGCGATATGTATAAGCATATTTGGAAGCATTCCCTTTAAGATTCAGGTGAGAATCCAGTTGTAGAATTCTGCTGTTCTCGCAGTCGCAGTCGCATTCGCAATGACAGTCGCAGTGGCAACGGCCTTAGGATCCAATGGAATCCTAAGGATTCCTAGGGATTCCTAAGGCATCCTTAGGCATCCTCAGGAATCCATAGGAATCCTTACCTTAAGAATCCTTAGGAATCCTGATTCCTAGGGATTTCTGGGGATTCCTAAGGATTCCTAGGGAATACTAAGGACTCCTAAGGATTCCTGAGGATGCTTAACTATGCCTACGGATTCCGAAGGATGCCTACGGATTCCTAAGGAAGGATTCCTAAGGGATTCCTAAGGATCAGCCTCCTCAGCCTGCCTCGGCCTCAGCCTCAGCCTCAGCCTGCCTCGGCCTCAGCCTCAGCCTGCCTCAGCCTCAGCCTCAGCCTGCCTTAGTTCAGCCTCAGCCTCAGCCTCAGCCTGCCTCGGCCTCAGCCTCAGCCTCAGCCTGCCTCGGCCTCAGCCTCAGCCTGCCTCAGCCTCAGCCTCAGCCTGCCTCGGCCTCAGCCTGCGTCAGCCTCAGCCTCAGCCTGCCTCAGCCTCAGCCTCAGCCTCAGCCTCAGCCTCAGCCTGCCTCGGCTTGCCTGCCTCAGCCTGCCTCGGCCTCAGCCTGCCTCGGCCTCAGCCTGCCTCAGCCTCCCCTCCCCCCCCCCTTCCCCCCCCCCCCCCCCATTCAGCCTCACCTTGTCTCAGCTTCGGCCTGCCTCGGCCTCATCCTCAGCCTCAGCCTCAGTCTCAGCCTCAGCCTGTCTCGGCCTCAGCCTCAGCTGCCTCAGCCTCAGCCTCAGCCTGCCTCAGCCTCAGCCTGCCTCAGCATCAGCCTGCCTCAGCATCAGCCTCAGCCTCAGCCTCAGCCTGCCTCGGCATGCCTCGGGCTCGGCCTCAGCGTGCCTCGGCCTCAGCCTCAGCCTCAGCCTGCCTCAGCCTCAGCCGCAGCCTGCCTCAGCCTCAGCCTGCCTCAGCTTCAGCCTCAGCCTGCCTCAGCCTCAGCCTGCCTCGGCCTCAGCCACAGCCTCAGCCTCAGCCTCAGCCTCAGCCTGCCTCAGCCTCAGCCTCAGCCTCTCAGCCTCAGCCTGCATCAGCCTCAGCCTCAGCCTCAGCCTGCCTCAGCCTCAGTCTCAGCCTGCCTCAGCTTCAGCCTCAGCCTGCCTCGGCCTCAGCCTGCCTCGGCCTCAGCCTCAGCCTGCCTCGGCCTCAGCCTGCTTCGGCCTCAGCCTGCCTCGGCCTCAGCCTGCCTTAGCTCGGGCATTCAAAATATGGCACAGGACTGGTGGTATGGGAACACGAAAGATCACGAAGTGGCCCACAGTTGGTTCCGGGCAATCAAAAGATGGTACAGGATTGGTGTTCTGGGAGCACGAAGAAAACGAAGTGGCCTACAGTTGGCTCCAAGCATCCAGAATGATGTTCTGGGAACACGAAGAACACGAAGTGGCCTACAGTTGGCTCCGGGCATTCAAGCTGCGGCCTGGGAATAGTGTTCTGGGAACACGAAGAACACGAAGTGGCCTACAGTTGGCTCCGGGCATTCAAAATGTGGCCTGGGAATGGTGTTCTGGGAAGACGAAGAACACGAAGTGGCCTACAGTTGGCCCTTGGCATTCAAAATGTGGCCTGGGAACGGTGTCCTGGGAACACGAAGAACACGAAGTGGCCTACAGTTGGCCCCAGGCATTCAAAATGTGGCCTGGGAATGGTATTCTGGAATGGATTCCTTAGGATTCCCAAGAAATCCTAAGGATTCCTAAAGATTACTGCGGCTGACCCTTCTGTCTGGTTCCTTGTCCGGATCCCGCCCAGACCCCCTTTGGGCGTCAAGATGCTCTCTTTGGATCCCACTAGAAACCTATCAGCAAAAGCTGTTAGGTAAGTATGTGGGCGATTCGTCGACTATGTTTCGCTATGTTCGAGTATTCTTTCATCCCCTATATGCTGGAGCGCCTGAGCTGCCTGGAGCAGCACGCCTCGCGCGGCGCGGTGGACAGGCTGCACCGGCAGCTCCAGCAGCTCCAGGACACGGTCGAGCGGCGCCACGCCGAGGACTCCTCGGGCGCCCGCTCCGCGGCGGAGGCGGAGGCCAAGGTGGGTGCCGTCTCGCAGCAGGTCGCCCTGCTCGCGGCCCGACTCTCCGAGGTGGAGGCCGGCCTGGACTTCGCCCGCGAGGCGGACGCCTCCGGCGCGCCAGGCGGCGGCGGCGGCGGCAAGCCGCCGCCGCCGCCTCGCGGAGAGGCGGAGCGCGGCCGGGGGGGCGGCGCCGCGGCGGCCGCCCGCGGGTCGGAGATCCAGGACAAGCTCCTGCACGTGGCCGAGCACCTCGAGGCCGAGAGCTCCGAGATCTCGGAGCTGGGCCAGCGGCTGGAGGCGGTGGAGCGGCAGCTCGCAGAGGGCGGGGCGGCGGCCTCGGGCGGGGCGGGGGCGAGCGCGGGGGCCAAGATGCAGGGCGCGCCGGATGGGCTCTCGAGGCGGGTGCGCGACTCAGAGGAGGGTGCTGAGGCCAAGGGCGAGCTGGAGGCGCTCTCGAAGAGTCTGCGTGGATTGGAGGAGAGTAGCAGCGAGCTCAAGGTCGAGCAGGAGGCGCTGTCGGGGCGTTTGGGTGCACTGGAGGAGGGCGCCGGGCCCACGGGCGCGCTGGAGGCGCTTTCGAAGCGCGTGTTGTTGCTGGAGGGCGCCGAGACTCCTGAGGCCCTGAACGATCTGCGTGAGGAGCTCTCGCAAGTAGTCAAGCAGGTCCAGGAGCTGCAAGGCCAGCGCCGCTTTGACACTCCGGCTGCGTCGAAGGAGCCGTCCTCTGAGTTGCAGTCCGAGCTGGACGACCTCAGGGGCAAGCTGGAGCAGCTGGAGGAGGAGCTCGGCTCCAGGGTCAGCACAGTGAGGGAGGATGCGGCAGAGGCGAAGGCAAAGGCCACCGAAGTGTCGGGCAAGGTCACGGAGGTGCAGGAGGATGTCAAGAAGCTCGCGGGGCAGCCCTGGAAGGAGGCGCTCGAGGGGCAGCGGAAGGTATTGGAGGACCTTCAGAGCAAGCTCTGCCGGCTCGAGTCCAGCAAGGCCACCGTCGGTGGACTGCACGAGAGCTTGCGGGAGCACAGGAAGGACGTGGAGGCGATGCGCGGGCGGGTGGAAGCCATGGAGAAGCAGGCCGCCGTGCGCGGGACGAGTGCCCAGGTGACGCCGAGCATGATCGACCAGCTGAGGGGCGCGGACGAAGAGCTCCAAGCGAGGATCGAGTCCACGGCCGTCGAGGTCAAGGGCGAGCTCGCGGCGCTCTGCAGGCGGCTGGGTGGCCTCGAGGCGGCCGCAGGCGCGCCGCAGGCGGCGGAGAGCGCGCAGAGGGAGGCGCGGGAGCAGCAGGCGGCCCTGGAGGAGCTGGCGCGGGGGAGCCAGGCGGCAGTGTCCGAGGCGGAGGCGAAGCTGGCGGCCAGGCTCCGGGCCCTCGAGGCGCGGCTGGCGCCCCGCCCGGCAGACGCCGCCGACGGCTGCGGCGAGGGCGCCGGAGCCGGGGCGGAGCTGCAGGAGAGGGCGTCCGACCTGGCCGCGCAGCTCGCGAGGGAGCTGGAGGACCTGGCGAGGCAGAAGGAGGAGCTGCAGAGCGTCGTCCGCGCCGCCACGCGGGACCTCGCCGCGGGCGCCGCCGGCCAGGCTGCCGTGGACTCGCTGGCCAGGGAGGTGGCGGAGTCGGGCAGGAGAGCCCAGGCGGCCGAGGACGCTGTGCAGGGGCTCCGGGTGGAGCTGGGCCAGGTGCGCACCGCCTCCCCCAGGGTGGACCTCGGCGCCGGCGGCGGCGCCGACGACCTCAGAGACAGGGTGGATCTCCTCGACAAGAAGGTCGGGGAGCTGCAGCTGCAGCTGCAGGGCAGGGCGGCCCGGCCGGGGCAGGCTGGGGAGGAGCCACCGCACTGCTCGCTCACGGGGGCCACCGACCCCATGCGAAACACCGCCCCAGACATGCGACGTCGTGATTTTTGCAACGCGGGGTCCCTTGAAGTGAAGTCCCGATCCTTTCCCCGGGACCGGCTTTTCATCCTGAATCGTTCTTTGACGGTCCCGAGACCCTGCGAGGGCCCCCCGAGGCCATTACCCAAAACCCTGCCGCCCTGATCTCTGCACGACGCGAGCACGTCTGGGGGCGAGGAGCCCCTGGACTTCTCGCTCACCGCCATGAGCGACCGCCCTGCGCACCTCGGGGGCAGCCTGAGCTGCTCGCTGGCCGAGGCCTCCCAGAGGTGCGCGCTCGCCTCGGAGCCAGCGCCAGGCGGCCCCGCCGCCGGCAGCGCTGGAGGCGCCCAAGGCGTGGGGCTCGGCGGCGTGGCGAGCGGGGGCGGTGCCCGCGCCAGGCCGGCGCCGCTGCGGCTCGAGGTCGAGGGTCGGCTGCGCGCAAGCTCAAGGCGGGCCTGTCCCTTGACAGGAGGACTGTTGTAAAATTGTCCAACAAATAGTGTGGAGACGATGTTATTCACTTTTTTCCCCCTATTTCTGATTTACGGGTATTTATCATTTCCCTGCAAAATCTGCCTGTAGGGGGACATGCCCGACCTAAGCCTGGACATGACCGCGTCGTACAAAAACCAGGACGGCAGGTTTTCTGCTATTTTCGGCCCCCAGCTGGGCCCTGGCCGGGCCTCGGGGCCGTCAAAAAACGACTCGGGACGACAAACCGGTCCTGGGGAAAGGGCCGGGACCTCCGGGGACCCCATCTTGAAAAAAATTTGACGTCGCATGTCTGGGCAAGAGTGACCGCTGCGTTTGCCGTTCTGTGCGCGCGTGTGCGCGTGTCTGTGTGTGTGGAGGAGGAGGAGGAGGAGGAGGAGGAGCAGGAGCAGGAGCAGGAGCAGGAGCAAGAGCAGGAGAAGGAAGAGGATGAAGAGCAGGAGGAGGACGAGCAGGAGGAGGAGGAGGAGGAGGAGGAGGAGGAGGAGGAGGAGGAGAGAAGGAGGCTTCGCCAGAGTGACCCTTGGCGTGGGCTGACCGTGAGACACCGGGCGCTGCCACTGTTTCACCACGGGCGCCATCGCCCGGCTTCGGGCTTCGGGGCCCTCACAGGTCGATGCGGCTCGAAGAATGGCCTGCTTAGGATGTTCCAACCTATTGTTGCCTCGATCACCGGCAAGAGTTTCGAGCACCAAGAGAGTACCGAAACTGAAGGGTTTTCACGTGTGGGGCCCTGGGAGGCGATAATTACTCGTCCGACGGTGGTTCGATATACTCTTCTGGGTGCTCGAGGTTAGGTTTGGGGCTGTGGTCCTTTAGGTACGATGGGAGCAACAGAAGTCTAGGGCTCAGGTCGTGGTTTGCGCGACGATGCGCTTTTTCTCGCGACGTTGGGTCTCCGGGGGACAGGGTTCAGTCGGGCCTGTCCCCCTACGGGATTTTCGACGAGAAATAAAAAGTACGCCAAGAATAGTCGGAAAAGACTCCCAAAACAGTTTGGGGATTATTTTTGTTAGCATTGTTTGACCTTTTTGGTGCATTTTTGAGGTATTTTTTGTTTTTCGTCGAAAATCCCCCTGTATGGGGGGTCCCCCGTGAAAAAAAGAGAACGCCCCAGGGGTCCGTTCCCGTTCCCGTTCCCGTTCCTGTTCCCGTTCCGTTCCCGTTCCCGTTCCCGTCGTCGTCGTCGTCGTCGTCGTCGTCGTCGTCGTCGTCGTCGTCGTCCCGTCGTGGTCGTCGTGGTCGTGGTCGTAGTAACAGTAGTAGTAGTACTAGTAGTAGTAGTAGTAGTAGTAGTAGTAGTAGTAGTAGTAGTAGTAGTAGTAATTGTCGTAGTAGTAGTAGTAGTAGTAGTAGTAGTAGTAGTGGTAGTAGTAGTAGTAGTAGTTGTAGTAGTAGTTGTCGTAGTAGTAGCAGTAGTAGTAGTAGTAGCAGCAGCAGTAGTAGCAGTAGTAGCAGTAGTAGCAGTAGTAGTAGTAGTAGTAGTAGTAGTAGTAGTTGTTGTCGTAGTAGTAGTAGTAGTAGTAGTAGTAGTAGTAGTAGTACTAGTAGTAGTTGCTGTAGTAGTAGTAGTTGTTGTCGTAGTAGTAGTAGTAGTAGTAGTAGTAGTAGTAGTAGTAGTAGTAGTAGTAGTAGTAGTAGTAGTAGTAGCAGCAGCAGTAGCAGCAGTAGTAGCAGTAGTAGCAGTAGTAGTAGTAGTAGTAGTAGTAGTAGTAGTAGTAGTAGCAGTAGTAGCAGTAGTAGCAGTAGTAGCAGTAGTAGCAGTAGTAGTAGTAGTAGTAGTAGTAGTAGTAGTAGTCGTAGTCGTAGTAGTAGTCGTAGTAGTAGTAGCAGTAGT